TACACAAATGAAAATAATGCAAAACTAGAGTAAAGTGCAACCCAGAAAAGCTTCTTTAAGTTCTAAATATTTTTGTTCAAAATAAAAATTCTGTTTGGTTTGGCAACTTTTTTTTGCAGAATCTTTCCTACTTTCTGAAAGGTTTTACATCGGTATGTTTAAGGATATCTACTCGATATAAAGCAATATTTATAAATACTTATTTTGACTCAAACTCTTAACCAAATGAATATAGAAAGAATATGCCGGTTTAAGAAAGTTTCAGATAGACATTTGCAATCATCCAGAACAAAAAGTTTTATCAAAAATTAAACCTAAAAGTTTTATAGAAGCTTTTAAAATATGCAAAAAAAAAATTCATTTCTGACACCCCTTGGCTTTGTACGCCAATATAATTTACCAAAACCATACTGCAGTCCTTCAATTATCATACAGGGAAATTTTCATCTTTCTAAACATCCCAACGAATGATTTGACATGTTCTTTGACTAGTTTTGAACTGATTGGGCCCAATATATATAACCTCACATGACTCCTCGCAAAATTCCTGGTAATTGGTCAGTATTTAAGGATATCACACAAAAAGCCTTGAACTTTTTAAAGATACGAAAATTTACCGATGAAAGCAAGAAACTATGCAAAATTATGTCATTGTATTTCACGGGCCGCTGTATTACATTTGAATTTCCGAGCCGAGTCAACCTTTCCGGTCCCAGTTTGTACTGTGCCGCACGGACATTGGCTTAATTAAGCAGACAATTAACAGGACTAGCCGGTGCAACAAGGTTGACGCGGTCAGACTTTATGCTTCATATATGTTGAATTCACTTTTGCTAAAGGGGCAGAGGTGCGTGATTTATTTATCATGAACTAAGAAAGAATGTTGTATCTAAAAGTAGCATTAAAAAATATTTCCTAAAAGAGCTTCAATGGATCCTTGGAGCCCAGATAATAAAAAATTTAAATGTTTTAAAAACTTATGAATTTCCGCTGAGCTTGACAATTTTTTTTGTAGCCATAGCAATTAGTATGCGTAAAGAAAACCTTTGAATAAGCCAGCTTCTTGAAAATTCCAATTAGCTGTACGGCCTTTGACAGTTTTTTAACTTACTTAATAAAAACTATAATAGTTTATATACAGTCGTCGTCGTATATATCAATACAATTAAGACGACTTTCGATTTCAATTTTGATTTTTACCAAGGTTTAAACCATAGATAAAGATAGATTGGGCATAAGACGACATTTTTCATCTTTAAAGATATAAATGTACAGAGATGTTTTAAAGATATTCCTTTTATATAGATTAACTAGGTCGGTTGTAAACATTGGCTGTTCTTATGTCATTGAGTACTTGTGGTGTACATGAGTTCTGTAGATAGAAATTTAAGTTAGTTTAGTCCTTCTCATGTCCTTCTTTAGTTCTGATTATTGCTCAGTTAAATATTGTTGTTCAAATAGTTCCATTCCCGGAGTTATTTACACTCTATTCTATGAAATCCATTAAAACACCAAACCACCCCGCTTATCATTGAAGTACACTTTGACCCCTAGAAGTATGAGTTCGCGGACTGTACAATTCTTGGTGGTTTTGCGTACATAAGCTATCTATGTTTATTTATTTATCTATAGTTTAAACAGAAAAAAAACACTTACACAAATAGAAGATGTCCAGTAACTGCAGCTTCTCTTTGTTTACGTTTAAACTTAGGTCTTGTTAGGGATTAAAGCATAAGTAATAAAAAGTCGTCTTCATTTTATTAATATAATTATGTTATGTTTTACAATAATATCTCAGTAAACACTGACACCCTGTGAATTGAAACATTCATTGACTATTGTTAAAGGCAGTTATTAAATCAAGGCAGCCCTTGTATGCATTATTCACTATATTCAGGCAGTAAAGGAAACACCTGTCAGGCCGAGAGTTACTTCCATTCATATTCATGCATGTCATAGGCCTAAATACTATACAATTGAATTTAGAAAATTTATATTAGTTTGTTTGTCTGTTTATTGATGAATCTATCTGTTCGCTTCTCACGCACGTTAAACTAAAGTATCTATATACACGTTAAACTAAAGTATCTATATGCACGTTGAACTAAAGAATCTATATGCACGTTAAACTAAAGTATCTATATGCACGTTAAACTAAAGTATCTATATGCACGTTAAACTAAAGCATCTATAATCTATATGCACGTTCAACTAAAGTATCTATTTGCCCGTTAAACTAAAGTTACGAGGTCGCAAAGTCCAAATTTTCAGTTATATTTCAAACTCAAATTCGAAATCCATCAAAAATAGAGTAAACGACTGGACACATTTTATCTTAGAAATTGATAGTCTAAGAAAAAAGTAAAAAGTACCTAAGTACATAACTAACATGCAAAATCTTTATTTATATGATAAAAGTGGGTTACTAAGTTAAGGCTTACTTACTTTTGACCATGTGTATCTGTACATGTGTATCTGTGTAGCTTTGTATCTGCGTATCTGTGTATCTGTGTATCTATGTATCTGTGTATCTGTGTATCTGTGTATCTTTGTATCTGTGTATCTGTGTATCTATATATTTGTGTATATGTGTTTCTGTGTATCTGTGTATCTGTGTATCTGTGTATCTGTCTATCTGTGTATTTGTGTATCTGTGTATCAGTGTATCTGCCTATTTGTGTATCTGCGTATCTGTGTATCTGTGTATTTGTGTATCTGTATATCTGTATATCTGTGTATTTGTGTATCTGTGTATCAGTGTATCTGTGTATTTGTGTATTTGTGTATCTGCGTATCTGTGTATCTGTGTATTTGTGTATCTGTGTATTTGTGTATTTGTGTATCTGCGTATCTGTGTATCTGTGTATTTGTGTATCTGTGTATCTGTGTATCTGTGTATCTATATATTTGTGTATTTGTGTATCTGTGTATCTGTGTATCTGTGTATCTGTGTATCTGTGTATCTGTGTATCTGCGTATCTGTGTATCTGTGTATCTGTGCATCTGTGTATTTGAAGTTATCTATAATTTCAATTTTAAGATATTCTTATATTTTCATTAGTTCATTATTAAAACTTAAATGGTAATAAAATACTAACATAAATATTAATTAATGAGTTTCCAATCAACAAATAATCGTTAATTAATAAATTATATATTTTATGCAGTTCACAAAACATTAAAATATCATCTTTATTAAAAAAATTTAAGTTTTTTAATTTGAATCGAAACGAAATCGGGTCGACTAGCTTCTGAGCAAATTGTAATTATATCCGACCGTTAAGAAGTGTGTCCCCACCCTAGCCTGTCTCTAACGTCTCTGTTTTTGTCTAATTTCTAATCGAATTGTTGACATGTATATAACTGTA